AGACTACCTGTTAGGGCACAGATGGGACATGTTTTTCCCATAAGACTGGGCCTACTTAAATATGCAATTATGTACATTTTACAAGGGCATTAACAATAAACAAGCCATTAAAAGTAAATATTTTCACGTAGAATAAAACTTTGAACCAGTCATTTTAAGTTAATATTTATTAATAATGACAAAAACTGGAAAAAAAATCATGTGTCTGTGCAGCATTACATACAATGTCATAAAAGAAATGCTGATTTGCAAACTTTTGTACCTTTTATTTTCTTCAGTGAAATAGAAGTAATTTTTGTTGGTTCTGAGGTAGACATGAAGCTCGATTTGCTGRCTTTGTAAGTATGAAAAGTTTTRTCTGTGCAGAAGTRCTCCAAACACTCTGATAAGGAGCACCTTAGAGAACAGAACCTAGAACAAGTGTTGTGATAAATCACAAAACTAGTCTTGACTGCTCCTTTCCTGACTGTGTAAAAAAAGAGGCTTTGTTGTTTTTTATTTTTTACTCAAAACTGTCACGAACTCTATTTTCATCACCAGTAAGCCAGCATCCACACAAGAACATCCTGAAGTAAACGTCAAAAAGTTGCACGTTTTATTGTCGTGCACGARCTGAAATTTGAGCAACTGGATTCAGGTGTCCTTGTGCTGTCATGGCAATCAGTGTAATCATTGTGACTGTGTGCCTGTTGATGCAGATTCACATCRAGATGCTGCAAATAATTGTTTCATCAAACCACTAATACAAAGATAACAGTGAATGATGACACGTGTGTGTGTGGGGGGGATGGGGGATCCACTGCTGCAGGACTGAATCCCTCCGTTCTTAACTCCAATGGCTTTTTGCAAACATAAAATTAGAATTCAGAAGTATGTTTCAACCCCTGACGCTGCCGGCAGCTCCACTCTGGTACCGAGCAGCTCCCAGCCATCTTCAGCTGCATTCACGTCAGCCATGTTTGTTTTCGCCCAGTCCACCTGGCCCCGCGTTTCATTACCTCAATTAGAGCGATTAGCAGCTAAAATTGCTGGTGTCGGCTGGGTGATTGGCAGCAATTGGCCGCTGAGGGAGGGGGAGCTGAAGGCGCCGACCGAGCTGCTCAGTCTGTGGAGCAAAACACGCATGTTTGTGCATGCGTGTGTGTACCGGCTGTTCTGGTGGGTGTGTTTGTTTATCCTGATGGGAGTTGTGCGAGGAGATGAGAACAATTCTTCAGGCAGTCAGTCTGTAGAGAATGTGCAGATATGATTCACTCACACYTGGAGCAGGAATGTTTCATAAAAGTAGAAGCTATTACAAACTTTATGAAACTGTCATGAAGTAATTATTGTATGTACAACCACAACTGACTAATTTTTATTATGATTGGATTTTATTGAAACTTTTAGGGGATATTTTTGAGCGTACAGTTGATTAATCTTCAAAAGCCAATCCAAATTCAAAATGTTTGACAGAGAAATTACTTTTGTTACTATAATTTAGTCAGTTTTTACAGATATTGGACTAAAACTTTCCTTGCACAAAGATCTTTGCCTAAAATTATAGCATTAACTGTTGGAACATGTTTGTTGGCAAAATATTTTATTTGAAACATTCAGAAAATAAAAATAAGATGTACATCTCCAACTAAATAACTGAAAGTAACCCCAATTCAAGGCTAATCAATAGTAGTCAACACAAAAATGGATCAYGGAATTGATTTTTACAGATATTATCCTAACATTTATTTTAGTTGTGGTTGAGTCACTCAGAATACAGACTGTGAGCGTGACATCACGATATCACATGACATAACATGACATTATATGACATTACATGACATTACATGACATTACATGACATTATATGACATTACATGACATTACATGACATCACATGACATCACATGACATTACATGACATTATATGACATTACATGACATCACATGACATCACATGACATTACATGACATTATATGACATTACGTGGCATTACATGACTTTACATGACATTAAATGACATTATTTGACATGACATTACATGACATTATACTGTATGACATTACATGACATTATTTGACATCACATGACATTACATGACATTACATGACATCACATGACATTGCATGACATTATATGACATTAAATGACATTACATGACATCACATGACATATGACATTACATGACATCACATGACATTATATGACATTATATGACATTACATGACATTTCATGACATTATATGACATCACATGACATCTCATGACATATGGCATTACATGACATCACATGACATTTCAAGATATTACATGACATCAAATGAGATTTCATGACATTACATGACAATGAATGACATCAGATGACATTACATGAAATCTCATGACATTACCCAACATCAAATGGCATCACATGACATTACATAACATCACATGACATCTCATGACAACGCGCTCTTTATGTTCTAGGTTTGATCCAAATGGCGACCAGTCATTTTTTGTAGCATAAGTTCAAAACTCTGACATGAAAGGCAGCAGGTGATCTGAACGCATTAAAAAAATGCTGGACCATCCATTTTTCATCCAAAAGTGTCCATGTTCATAATAATTTGAACATTTTTCTCTGACTTCCTTCCTGTAAAAGAATGCCAACACCGTTAGGAGGACCTTACATAAAGATGCCCCTCCTCCACACTCAATCAGCTTAACACTCTCTAAGCATGTTACAATCAGCATGGATCATACACACACTCATTGATTAGGAGCGTGGCAGACAGGCAATCAGTATCCAGTCACGGCACATTTTGTCCGGCCCCGGTGGGAGTCAGGATGGTGGTTCATTCGACAGAGGCTCATTAAATGGTCAACAGTAATTTAGGGGACAGGCTGCTGTTCGTTTTGTATTCTCATTACAACCAACATGGCCCCGAGTGGTGGCTGCTGGAGCAGATCTCAGGGTGTCTGTCTTTGCAACACCTTTTTTTTAGGATGTGGGATGGTTGGAGTGAAGTTTTTTTTTAATATCTTCGTCAAAAGTGGCTGTTCTTCATCAGACAGTGGCACTCACAACACAGGTTCATGACAGAACATTAATCTGCTGCTCAAAAAGACAGCTGTAACTCCTCCTTCTCCTCCTCCTCACAAAAACTGTCATTCATGGCTTCTCACGTTTCCTTCTCTCCACGTTCATCTAACCAACCCCACTCTGTTTTRATTTTCCATTACAGCTGTTTATCACCATCAAAGGAAAGCATCCATCCATCCATCCATCCATCCATTTTCTTCCGCCTATCCGGGGTCGGGTCGCGGGGGCAGCAGCTTCAGAAGGGAGGCCCAGACCTCCCTCTCCCCAGCCACTTCTTCCAGCTCCTCCGGGGGAACTCCAAGGCGTTCCCAGGCCAGCCGAGAGACATAGTCCCTCCAGCGTGTCCTGGGTCTTCCTCGGGGCCTCCTCCCGGTGGGACGTGCCCGGAATACCTCACCAGGGAGGCGTCCAGGAGGCATCCTTACCAGATGCCCGAGCCACCTCAACTGGCTCCTCTCGACGTGGAGGAGCAGCGGCTCTACTCTGAGTCCCTCCCGGATGACCGAGCTTCTCACCCTATCTCTAAGGGAGAGCCCAGCCACCCTGCGGAGGAAACCCATTTCGGCCGCTTGTATCCGGGACCTCGTTCTTTCGGTCATGACCCAAAGCTCATGACCATAGATGAGGGTAGGAATACGTTCCTACGATCGACCGGTAAATCGAGAGCTTCGCTTTCTGACTCAGCTCTCTCTTCACCACGACGGACCGGTACAGCGCCCGCTTTACAGCAGACGCTGCGCCAATCCGCCTGTCGATCTCCCGCTRTSTTCTTCCCCCATTCGTGAATAAGATCRCCAGATACTTAAACTCCTCCACTTGAGACAGGGCGACCCCCCTGACCCGGAGAAGGCACTCTGCCCTTTTCCGGCTCAAGACCATGGCCTCGGATTTGGAGGCACTGAGCTTCATCCCAGCCGCTTCGCACTCGGCCGCGAACCGCTCCAGCGAGAGCTGCAGATCTCGCTCCGATGAAGCCAACAGGACCACATCATCCGCAAAAAGCAGAGATGCGATCCTAAGGCCACCAAAACGGATCCCCTCAACACCTCGGCTGCGCCTAGAAATTCTGTCCATGAAAGTAATGAACAGAATCGGTGACAAAGGGCAGCCTTGGCGGAGTCCAACCCTCACCGGAAATGAGCCCGACTTACTGCCGGCAATGCGAACCAGACTCTGACACCGGTCGTACAAGGACCTGACAGCCCGTATCAAGTGGCCCGGTACCCCATACTCCCGGAGAACCCCCCACAAGGCCCCCCTTGGGACACGGTCGAACGCCTTCTCCAAGTCCACAAAACACATGTAGACAGGTTGGGCGAACTCCCATGCACCCTCCAGGACCCTGCTGAGGGTGTAYAGCTGGTCCAGTGTTCCACGACCAGGACGAAAACCACACTGCTCTTCCTGAATCCGAGGTTCGACTATCCGACGGACCCTCCTCTCCAGGACCCCTGAATAGACCTTACCAGGGAGGCTTAAGAGTGTGACCCCCCTGTAATTGGAGCACACAAAGGAAAGCAGTGTTATCTAAATAGCTAAATGTTTCATGGCAGCAAGACTTGTTTTTATCAAATGGCTCATTTTTAATTTTACACTTAATTTGTGCTTCCTTTAAATTCAGTCTAGTGGACATTTGAAGAAGTTGTTTCTATACTTTGCATCAGTGATGTACAGCATATTCTAAATAAGGTGAACATGTCATTGCTTTTCATGCTGGCTTCACTTTTCAGCTTAAGTTGTGAAATGGAACCCACATGCTTCCATGTTGGTTATAGGAGCTTTAGTGTGTTTACAGCTTGTTCTTCATGAGAAAGGAAGTTAATTCGTCTGGCTGCTGCACTTCTAAAAAATCTGCATTGTATTGAACCTCACTGTTGAGCATTAATCATTTGCTTCCATGCTGCTTTTGACATCTTCCTGTGTTTGTATTTTTGCCAGGATGTCTGTGAAAAGTGCAAAGAGCGCACCAGCAGACAGCAGACCACCGTCTGCTGCCAGGTCAGTGAGGAAGACTAATAGGATGAAGTCAGAAACACATTTCAGCTGAGGCAACTGTGAACAGTAAACTCTCATCGGGCATAACAGTCATTGAAGCTGTGACAGAAAACTTTCTTTTATTTAATGTTATTTCTTTCACAGTAGTTAACAAGTAGTAGACTATCAGCCTTGGGGGGAAAAAAATCCAAACTTTGAGTAGAAAACGCCAATTTTGAAAAAATGTAAGTAATTTTTTCCAACCACGGCTGTTTTTTTTTTCTTCTATCAGTAGTCAGCCTAAAATAAAGAGTTCAAAACTTTTAAAGTGGGGTTTTGTGGAAGTGTTAGAAACAACTAGAGAAATTGRATTTTCTGTGGAAAGGCTGTCTGAATGCTGAGTGTTCAAGGACTTTACTGAAATCATTTTAAAATGAGTCCAGTCTGAAAAACTTTGTAGAGGTGTGTTCATCCATCTATCATCCATCCATCATCCATCCATCATCCATCCATCTGACATCCATCTATCATCCATCCATCATCCATCCATCATCCATCCTCCATCCATCCATCATCCATCCATCATCCATCCATCATCCATCCATCTATCATCCATCTAGCTAATCTGCTTGGTTCTGTTG